TGGTCATGAGCAATGTATTAAGAGTAAGCCATGCAACAGAAAAAGCACAAGCTTATATTACTTTGCTTCAAGTCCCAATTTTGCTTGATAGTATTCTGGGCAGTTCAGTATGACTCGTTTTCTTGAGAGCATTTGGTGTATCACAGACTTTATGGAAAATTACAGAACCTATACACAAATTAATGGACCTATATGCACAATTGTTCTTGCTAACCACTTGCTAACCAGCAGATATTTGTAGCTCGAAGTGGATAAAAAAAGTAACAAATCTTAATCCAGCATAAAAACATCCACAGTGCCTTAAGTAACCACCATGTAGCATCTCCTTAGAACACTGAAGTCATTCATTGCATCAGAGGTCAGCTGACTCTTGATGATCAGTCACACACTGACAATTGTCTATAATGTGAGACTGCAGCTCACACTGCTGATCATTAATACTGCTGCTGCTGTTTTGCATGACTTGTTTTCTGCATGTGGCATGCACCCACAGCATATGTGGATTACTGTTATAATGCAGTATTCAATGTTCATCCTCCAGAGTTTACTTGTAGGGACTGGTCCCTCACATTTGTTCTTTTCAATCCACCCTTGAGGGAGGCAAAGAGAACATTTAACCCATATCAAGCTTGTAGCAGCTAGCTGCCTGTCTTTCTCCTTATCTTCAACTTTTTGTCTTTCTTACCATCTTTTCTGTCATGTTTGCTAGCTCGCATTGTAACCCTTCTTGGCCATCTCTCTGTCTGTGCACCTGACTGCTTTCTAGAGCTTCTTACCAAAGAGAGCCTGCAGCAATGCATCTACTTAGTCTTTTGGTTGGTTTCTGTATTTTCTAGTCACCAGCCTAACCTGTGTTTAGGTAACCAGTGTTAGACCCTTGGGTCTCATGATTTAGACCTCAAGAAGGACAAACAACAGGCACTAGATTTGTTGGATATCCCATAGATATCAAGATTATTCACAAAGACATGCACACATGCCTACAAATAATGTATAAACACTGGCATGCATAAATGCTCATACACAAACATATAGCATGCTAGAAAGACAGAGGTATGCTCTTTCCCGCTATCTCTTGCGCACATATTTTACACACACATGCCAAGCAATTAATTGATTACAGTTTGCACGCTGTGGTCTTGTTGCTTGTAGGAATATGCAAAATTGATGCCCTTAATTAGTTTGTTTACTGTGAGGATAATTGAGTTATTAAAACGTTTTTAACAGCCATCTCAGAATACAACAATATCAATTAAGCAATTAAGGTTAAGATGAATATACTTGTTGACAGTTTGGTATGCAATGCTAAAGGACCAAACATGTCAGAGTCCTGGGAAAACCTTTTGTTTTCAAAACAACTTGACCAGAGGAACTGGTGTATTTTCCCTGTGCAAAGAGGTAAATAATGACACACTTTTGTCTTAAAGATTTCAATTTACAATTTACAATGTAATGCAATAGTTTTACAAGCCATTTCCCTCTGCACAGTGAAGACACACACATCACTACATGTTATTTACATGCATAGTGAGTGTCCATTTAGGCGTCATTGCAAAACAACCCAACCTTGTCCCTGAAAACATTAAAGACTGTTTAACAAGTGATGCAGACCTGCTAGCTCATGCCAAGGGATCATAACATAATAAATCTCATTCACCAGCATAATGTTGTTTCAGCTCAAATCTGCAGTCACTTTGAGACCTGCTCTCTATCAAAATAACAGCCACTGTTCAAATAAACTCAACACACAAGTCCAGGCCTGGTGTTTCTTCACAGGCAAGAGCTATTCTCATGAAGATTAATGTTTGTTTTTTTTCTTTCAAGTAATCTGATATTAAACAAGTATTTATCAAAGATTATAATATCTGTTCAGGTCCTGAATAGTTATGTGATCATTTGGCATTTGCTTCTTTCCATGCAAGATGAAATCATTACAGCATAAAAAGAGAAGTGTGTTTTGAATATAGTTTTTTGTACAATTACTTCATATTAACAATAGAGAGGATCAGCTGAACTTTGATTTGGCTGAGATTGAACACTAATGGTAGAAGAACCCAGCAGGGATCTCAGAAGACTCCTCAATGTTTGCGTCAGGTCGTTGTCAACACATAATACGAGCATGCATACACACACCCTGTCACTTAAATGACAGTGCCCCACAAAAAGAAACACACATGCTTGCATAAACAAACATGCACATGCAATTCCCTCATGGTGTTGTCACCACAAGAACACATCCATACATAAAATATTAAAACATGTGGAGAGGGAGATGAAGAGCATGTTCACTTAAATCAGTGCACTAAAAGGTTCACTGTGCTTTCTAAAGTCAACATACAGATGGTGCACCAGAGAGTTGAGAGAGAGGCAGGAGCGGCAAAGGAAGCTTTCTTTTTTCTCCCTGAATGTGAACAGTATGTTTAGATAAGAATAGAACCGCATGACTCTGAAATAGCACCTTTTTACTGCACATCTGTTTACTTTGAAAGTGTATCTCTTGCATTCTTACACTTGACTTGGTGACTTCATCACTTCCCTCAGGGCACAGAATATATAAGTGAGTCAGGATGCTCAACAGGATTTCTCTCTGCACGCAAGCAGCAACTGGTAAGGGAGGGTCTACACTTGACCACAGACTTGTGGTCTTATCTGGTCTGGGTATATCTTCCTATCAAAACATTCAGGTTATGTACAGTCTCACGTAATCACTGTAATAACTGCAATTACAATATGGAGGCCAACTATTGCAATGATGGGGCTTTTTTGTAGGTTTTTCAGTCAATGTGGAAAGACCATGAGAAACACTTGAACCCAGGCTATATAGTATATCCTCTCCAAAAAGGGGAACAACGAGCTATAAATCTGTGTCAAAATATAAGATGTTTTCTTCCCTTTTTAAATCTTTTTAAGATCATAACATTATAAATATGGATGGGAAATAGAAAAGATCTATGTTTTAAAGACTAAATTGAAAAGCTAACTTATACATAATATAAAATACCCTGGCAAAAACAGAAACATGTATTGTATGCAGTATGACCTTAAAGGGACAATTCACACACTTGTGACATCAATATTAATAAAGTGTTATTCAGCACATGAAAACAGAAATAACCCTGAAATAATCCTGATAATGTCATGAGTGTTATCTCTTTGGGCTTGAAGGCAAATTTATAATAGAAAGCCTGAGTTACTAGGGATGTGGAGATATTATCAGAATTTACAAGGCAGGGAAAATCTAACACTGATGAGTTGTATTATTGGAAATATAGGATCCAGTGTTTTGGGGAGTTGAGGCCAAGTACAATCGTATCTTCTGAGTTCTGTTCCATACGTAATAAAACTTTATTAAACATTAATTGACGTTTATACCTACTAATAACTGAAAATACAGTCTTCGAACAAAGTCAAGAGTATGTCGTGAGGTTGGTTCATACAATAGCTTTTTTGAAAAATGATCTAATATCATTAATGCAGTATTTATTTTTTTTAACTAATACCTTCTCCCGTAAGCCCTAGACATTTGCGGCCCAGACATCAAGGTTCGACAAAAGAGGAAAGTCCATGAGTGAGTCATGGGGTCATGGCTAGCTCAGACATGTCTGTAATAACAGCAGGACGGAGAAGTGTCAACGCCATATAAGTTTTTAAACAGCAAAGATTACAACTAGAAAATGAAAAAAATACTTTAGATGAGAGCGTTCGTGAGTTTTAAGTAAGTACCCGCGGTATCACGCATGCTTGTACTGTTTTCATGGGAGCAGTAGTTTTTTTTTTTTTTCTGTGCCAACAAAGTAACACACATGAACACTTGCGCAGTGCCTGACTACTGCTGGAGGTGGCGAGAGGAGTCCAAGGTCATCATCACTAACTGTATCTAACTAGCTCATGTCTCATTCATTCAAATTGCACCCAAAACGGAAAAAAAGTTACTTTCAGGCCCTTCATCTACCTCAGTTCTCGTTGAAAAGCCGAAAAAAAATCTATTTTGACCCTGGTTTGATCTTCACCTTACCTCTTTTTGGTCATAGCCTGTTCTCCTTCTAACCCTTCTTGCTTTGTTTATCACTGCAAACTGTTGTACAGGTGGAACTGGAAATTTTGGCTGCTCTTTCTCTGTCATTCTTGTGCAACAAGCTCGGTAGCTTTAGCAATATATCTGCCTCGTCTTGTGGAAGACTCCGGTCATGCATAATTACAGGCCTGCAACAGCCACATACATTTCTTTTCTTTTTTTCAGAACATTTAGAAATAATATTTCTGTTGGGATAAAGAGAATTTCAACAAATATAGCAAAAAAGGGGAATACTTTAACTACTTGACTTAAAATCATGAAGATTTCATTTTCAAACAACTGTTGTAATGGATGGCAATTCATCTTAGAATATGTTAAGTAAACACCAGGGACACATTTATTTTTTCAGAAAGACTGATGAATGAAAGATTGCATTGAGTTTCAGAAGCTAGTGGAAGACAGGCTAGCCTAGACTTTGGCTCTCTTCTTGAGACTAAGTCAGGATATTTCAAACTTGGCTGCTTCAAATTTGACCGTTCTTTTTCTATCTGTCTCTTGTGAGTCTGCTAACTTAATGAAAGTGCAGAACTAAATCTCTTGAGTGGGCCCTTCAAAAGGGATCAGAAAGAGCAAGACAGTGAATGTTCATAGACCAGGCTCATGCTTTACCTTTATTTAATGCCTGTTAGAGATTTGGTTATGTCTGTTTTGGTTTTTATGACAACTTTGTGGGATTCCTTTGTGACTAAATGTTCAGCTAATAAATGTGGAATCTGCAATGGCTGTGAGGAAGCTGTCATTCCTCTATAAAACACAAAATAAAGTAAGAATAATAATGATTGTAATATGTGTGTACCCATAAGATGGAAACTAATGACCTATGAAGTAACTGTACCACAAATATACTAGCAAAAAGTAACTGAGGGATTCATCATCATTAGTAAGCTGACGGCAGCTGACCCGTGACAAAATAAACATAAAACTGTTCTCTTACAAATACACTGCATTCATGTATTTTTTTTATTCATCACATTAAAGCCCCTACTTTATGGCCATATTACGGCCTTTCTTTATTGTCTTACAAATATTAAGTTATCCACAAAAATAAAATAACTTAGATAATAACCATATTAAAACATAAAAATACATACATACATACATTACATTTTTGACATGAAAAAAAATGCATATTGCTGATATCTCCCAGAGTTTTCCTGGACAGTTCTGTATGTGCAAACTACTTATCAGAATCAAAATAATCTGGACACTACACTGGACACATAATTCCAGATTGTTTCCTCTGCTTTCAACACAGAATTAATAAATTACACTGTCTGATAAGGAGCATCGCTCATACAAGTTTCTTGAGACCAAATATGATCTTCAAAATGTGCATAGGCAGAAATTCATATCAACTTTGTTACTCACATACTCTGAAGTTGACAGATTATCCCTATTTGCACACATCGAAGAAGTGTGAAAAAGGTGAGTGTAGATATATCACAAGAAGCATACAGTGTCGTACACAGTACATTGCATCACAAAACAGGAGGATTGATGATGGCTTGGGATGTTTATAGTGTGAGGAACGTAAGCCTGTTCATGTGCGCTCAGCTTCCTGAGGCACTCTTAATGTATTGATGGTATTTGTGCAGCATCATTCAGTTTTATTTACAATGCTGTTCAGATCATGCTGAAGATGAAAATTAAAATGAAGGTCTACTGTGCACTGTACTCTGACAGTCCTCTTATATTACATACCACACACAACACATGGAACATTTTGGACAACATAACTCCGAACAATGTCCGGTGTTTTAGGGAAGCTGTAATATATATTTCAAAACAGCTGTACAAGCTTTTGTCACAATGGTTTTCAAACAGCATTTTCACATAGATTCACAGAATTACACCGTATAGGGCAAGTGTTACTCTATTGGAAGCTGCTTTGTGTGGATATTATTTAAAGACCCTCTGTTAGAGGAAAGGAAAGAGTTTCAGTTGTAAGGGTCTGATATGAGGAATGCCAGGAAGACGCACCAACAATCAGACTTTCAGTTAGGTCCTTTGATTTACTTCTGCTTCAGCCTTTCTGATTCATCACTGCTGTGACGACTTCCTTTGCAGTAGCCATCATTATATTATAAAAGTTTGCCCCTTTATTGCAGTCTTCTGAATTAAATAGTCCAGTCTGTTTTAGGACTCGATTTTGGAGTCTTTTGTTTTTAATTTTTTACCAAAAATGTGTGAATGTATTTATTGATGGGTGTCATTGCTGTCAACAAGGTTACACATGATGCATACAACATAGTAATATTGACTCATACATCTACAGAGTGTCAGTTGAGCTGGACAATCCTCTGATGTATTTTTAGCTGTAACATGATACTTCCTATAAACATTGGAACTTCTGAACTGCCCTTGAACAAGGCACTAAATCCTTAAGTGCTCCAGGTGTGTTGTGCTGTGTCAGATAGCGATATAGCGTGCACTGTGAATCCTGATGTGTGAAAAGATCTGTATTTGTCCCTCTATGTTGTAAATAGGAGATATGGCAAATACTGTGTAACATGACTGTGTTTATGCTGTAAGTCATCATATATGTGATGGAGGGACTACTGTATAATGTACGATCTTTTAAAAAACAAAACAAAACAGATGTCTTCCCCCATTTTTTTAAGTTTCATGGGATGCAGACATCAGCTTTTCTGCCTTTTGCTGGTGCTATGAAGCAATATTATTTTCTTTCTGCATGCAATCTACTGCTTATGCTCAACATCCTCTTTGCTCACCTGAATCTCATGCAGCTGTACGTCAGTCAACATATGCTGATGAAACAACAATAGTCTGCCAAAACCCAAATTTCATATTTGGAGTATTCAGATATTTATCTGATATAACTATGTTCCTTTGTCTCAAGAGGAAAGCAATAATCATCCAAGCTTTCTGAGTTGTGGCAGCTTTAGACATATGCCACATGTGGTCACACTTTACCAAAATGCATATCTATCTCTTGGCTCAACTGCTTTACACTTTTGTCTTTTCTCTCCTGGAAAACAGCAGTCCACCGCAAAAAGGTATGGGGCACATATATTACAGTCATATTCCCCTTTCAAATTGATAGTCTTGATTTTAAAAAGTGTCTTTTTCTTAGTTTTCTTTATGTGTATAGTCTTTTAGTGTGTGTTTCTTCATTTACAGACACTGACCCACTCTGTTATCCTGCACTCTTCGCACACCACATAGCAGCACCAGTGAAACTTGCAATTGCAGCGTTCACTCCGCGTCTGCTGCAGGATGTTGTGGCCTCTCCCGCAGCACAGGCTCTCACAGTTGTCCATTCCAGGGCTGGTCTTGTTGCAGATCCGGCCCTGCGTGCCCGCTGAGTCCGAGCCCAGGTCCCGCTCGCAGAAATCTGGCGACTTTTCAAAGTAGACCAGTTCGTTGATGCTTGGCCGTCGCCGATGTGTGTGGTGATGGTGATTGTGGTGGTTGTTCTGATGATGGTGATGATGGTGGTGGTGGTTGTGATGGTTATGGTGGTTGTGGTGGTTGTTGTGGTGGGAGTGGTCGAGCTGTCCAGTGTTTCGGTTGTGAGCCTTGATAAGTGTGGCGATGTGGAAGCGCTCTTTGAGGATCGAGCCCACGACCCGGAACTCTGGGGTGACCTGCCAGCAGGTCTTCAGCTGGCAGCTCCCGGACGTCCCGTGGCACTTGCATTTCCTTCTCATGTGGTCGAGCACCACCTGCAAAACACACAGATGGAGACAGACAAAAAGAGAGAGTGGGATGGAGGGAGGAAGTGGGGTGGGGGGGAAAGGGGGTGAGAAGGATTAATGACTTTCAGGATTACTGGTTACATTTGAAGTTTAATACAGTCACAGGCTGTTACAGACATATTTTTCATTTATTTGTTCTTCTAAGCGAACACCATTCCTCTGTACAGTGAATGACACTTAATGCCCTGAAGGAATATTGGTCCCGCATTTAAAAATCCAGGTGGTCTGAGCCTGTTGTCAAACATACTGATATCAAATAACACAGATGGATGCAGGCATTACACAAACAGTAGTCATTATTCATATTTTGGTATCAAGTAATGATTCCAAGCATGACACACATGTAGTGGCACATTAGGCATACTGTACATATTTTCACTAATGGTTTAATGCTGGCCAGTGGAACCACATGAATACTAACAGCCAATGTTCATAGGCTCACTGTAAGCCCTGACATAGCAAAGTAATATTTATACCTTATATAGGGTCTTTAAGGTCTGAAAGACCGTTTCTGATGTCCGTAGTGCATTCATAAAAACGCATAAACACAAAACGCCCCATCAACACTGCAAGACCTACTCACTCAGCAGCAGCACACACATACACACACACCAAGTACACCCAACCCTGTCCATCTTAGTCATGCATGTATTTATGTATGTGTGTGTGTGTGTGTGTGTGTGTGTGTGTGTGTGTGTGTGTGTGTGAATTGTGTTTATCAATCATCACCTGATCTAAACTTTAAGATCCAATTACCAACAGGAACACCAGGCCACCCAGATACTGACAGATGCTGCTGCTGTTACTGCCCCTATCAACACACACACGCACATACACACACATGCTGGACATTTGCACAGTTAAACACATTCCACACATGTGCTAGTAATAATACTAATCTCCAGACGCACACACACACACAATATGTCTGTCACCCACATCCTCTGTTTCATCCATGCAGAATGGGACCGAATGGCAAACTACAGGTATGACGGAGATAAGTATAGGAGTTTATTAAAACATGGAAAGTCTATGTATGTTTGTGTGTGTGAGTATGTGCATCATATGTTCATGCTGGAATGATCCTGTAACCTCTCCTTGCTTTACTTTTTTAAAGAAATGACTGTCATTCAATTGTTTCCAAACAGCAGTAGTGACAGAAGGATAAGGGGAAAAAAGAGAGATAATCTCTATAGAATGAGTGAGACAATCCAGTTATCCACTTCTTGAAAGTCAAGGTCAATTTGGACTGATGCCAAAAATCAGATACTTCACATTTCCTGGTTCCTAGTTTGCTTGCATTTTTCTCAGAGGGAGCTAGAACCATTTGTTGAATACAGTAGAGGGTTTGGTTTGCACGCTGTAAAGCTCAATTTCATGCAGCACAGTGGGTTGCCCAACGGAGCAAACCATGCAGAGTGAAGAAGGGGAAAAAAACTTGTTCACTTGTTCTGGGGCATGAATGAGCAGAGAGGTGGATGAAGAGTGATAAATGGAGCTACTTGACTCATCTGTTTGGAATGAAAAAGTGAAAAAGAGCAGCAAAAGAAAACACCACCGGGCCAAAGTTAATAGTGATCACACAGTCTAAAAAAAGTAACAAAATAAAATATAAATATCAGGTGACTGTTACAAAACCTGTGGAGCAGAGAAGGTTATGATGCATCCATGTAGAGCTGCAAATAACCTTGAAAGAAATACTGTTTTAGTTAAACTTAAAGGCAATGTAAATGTGTTCATAGAGTTAGGGAGAGATTATGTAAATATTGGTTTCTTTCTTATTTAGACAAATGTATACAATCTTTGAAAATGTGCTTGCTAAGATAAGTTTATGTTACTATCACTCATCAAACCCGCCAGTAAGAAAGATAATTTACGAAAATTAAATGTTAGGGATATTTATGCTTGCATTATGACAATTATGTAAAAGAATGCAAAATATTTTCAGTCCTTGCATCACATGTGTTGTGATAACAGAAAGTGAGTAAGAAGCATGGATTTTGGATAAACATGGTTCTGCTGTTGAGAGCACCCCAAAGAAGTTGAAAGAAGCTGTGATCAGTGGTGAGGAGCTAGAAGCTGTAAGACTTCATAGTAAACAACATTATAATAGCTCAACAGCACTTGCACTGAGTTCAGATTGCAGAGTTTGGTTCAGTTTTTACATTGGGGCAGAGGCAACCCCAGAATCACAAACGTGCTGGCCTTAAACACACAGCAAAGTCTGTAATCATAAAACTCTCCAACCCACTTAAATCTTAAAGACACAAAATGACCTAGGAGTCATAATTGCATCCACATTGCTACTGTTTGAAGGTACATTCACAGCAGGACAGGGGCTTCAAATGACAGAAAAAACAACAAAAACAGAAGTGTTATTTTTACTGGTGTTTAGTCATATTTATTCCAGGGAAAAAATAAAAAGCCAAAATTCTTCTGGGAGGTTATGAACCACAGCAGCATGTCTCAAACTTTTTTATGTGTATCAGAGTGGAGCACTTTACATAAGATTTCCCTGAGGCAGGAACAACATATGGAGATGATCCCACTAAAACTGTCATGCCCTACAAAACCATTGCTTTCCAGTAGTACAGCGTGTCTGGCTTCCATAATGTTCAAAAAATGCAATTGACCATTCGTGAGAACCCTCCCCCGAACAGTAATTGTCCAATAATAGCTTAGCAACCTTAACTAGGCATGGCAGGCCTGTCAAGCTTAGGATTTCTCCACATGCTGTAGCAGTAAGACCGAAACTCGCCATTTAAAGAGTTTAGAAGGAGGTGTCTTTGTTTAGCCTTTCCAAAAGAGAAGAGAAAAAGTGTAAGGAACAGATTCAACAACTTGTTTGTCAGCTCTAATTTAAGATTCAAATGTTCTTGTGTCTTGTTCACTATCTTAACTAGCCTAGAGTAGTGTTAGGCTACGTCAAAGGCCAAGGAGCTCATCATTCACTAACCACATTTTGGGGGGCTACAGGTTATGCTAATATAGCACCATTCACAACCAGCTAATCTACTGTATAATATATAGTATGGCTATATGTTATCTAATATTATACACCAACCTTAACAGCTCTATCCTTATTGGATTTGGGGGTTTGCACTCTTGCAACCTCAGCCAACATGATACCGAACACAGTGTTAAACTTAGTCTTCATCCTAAAAGACTTTAAAAGTCAAACGTACAATTTCAAAATACAAACAGGTATTTAAGCTAAACCGCTTTATGTTAGAACGAAGTCCAGTCTGATCTTATAGTTTTCCTGATCATACAGTATTATGCTAGGACTCAGCTCTACACTGTAATAAGCATGATATCCTATATAGCCATCAAGTGCATATTTATAAACCTTTTATAAGATTCTCATTTTAAAACTCCACTTGAAACATTAAAAATGTAGCAAGAGATAGCAATGTCAACCAAGTTATAGAGCTAATGTTAAACTGCCAGTGACTGCAAAATTCAAAGTCATGCAGCTAATGATACTTTTGTCTACTTTAATTTTAAATCAGTGACCCATTGTTTCAAATAGAACGCTACTAAAAAGTTGGTAAATTTGCCACCATTATCATTGTAAACTGTAAGTGTCGTGCAAGAACAGAATGTTTGGTTCTCGTAGCAGTAACTAAGGAGTGTGGGGCTTAGCAAAACTAAGATTTGGCCCTTGGTTTTAAATGTAAGGCCTTATGTGTCACTGTAAATGACAATACTACAGTCAGACACAGCCAATTCGGTTTACAACTTGTTGCTACTCAGCTAGAGATATGCCACACACATTTGAAAATTGACATATATGCCAGTTCAACATCTGAATAACATTTGTCGGCTCTGTGTAAGAGTGAATTTATCCATTAAACACACAAGGTATGCTACAGTACACACCCTGTGCTCTCACTCGGCAGAGCTTAAAAGAGGTTTGCAGGCTCCTAAAACCTCCACAAAAGAACATGATGAGTAGTACTTTGTGTGTGGGGGAAATGTCAAATATTCCTTTGACGTGTAGTTGAAAGGAAGAAAAGATAAAATCCAGACCCTTAACTGGTAACAGGAAATTGGGAATCTGTCTGCTCTTGCTATATTAGAAGGGGTCTGTCAGTATGACATGTGAAGTGCTGATCCATCTGACAAAAAGAGCTGGGGGAAACACTTACTGAGTACCAAACACTGGCTCTAGATATCAATCAAAAATCCTACACACTGGTCCTTTAACTTAATTTAATGGAAATGCTACATTACATTTTGAATTTTGATTTGTTTTAAAAGTGTCAAACAGCAAACAGTTCAAATGCATGAAATTATATTTAATACAATGAACAGGTAACGAATCTGAGCTCAGATCATTCACTTGTTGATTTTCGCAATGCAGTATAAATTTCGGGCTAGAAGATGAGAGTCATAAAAAATAAGTGTCTAGTCTTAATTGGTCCAACATAATGGACTCTCAAACATTTTGATAGTAACTTTCCAGATCCAGAGCACTCTAAGATCCAGAATGATTAATTGATGATCAGATGAAAGGTTAGGATTTTCTTTCTGTTCATTCTCATCTGTACCTCGGGGTATGGCTGTGTGTAACAAGAGACAAGAGAGAGACAACAGCAAAAAATGTCTGTCTCTTTGTCTGTGTTTACGCTATCTAACGTGACTACTGTGGAAAGAAGGAAGAAGACTGATGCGGTGATGATTTATTGTTGCCTTGTTGTAGATCTTGAGAATTAACCCTGAGGACATGCAGGAGACGCTGGGTGGTGGAGCTAAAGGGCGGTGTACAGTAAATGCAGAGGAGAGGGTAGGAGAGAGGAAAGAGGAGAGGAAAAGTGGGATGACAGGAGGGGGAGATGATCTTTGGATTATCTCTTTGCTGTCCCTACACCGCTTGATGCACAAAGGCAGTTTGTGTGTCTGTGAGGGTGTGTGTGGGTGGTGTTACAAATCACCTGTCTGTCTAGCCGATACTCTATCTAGGC